ATAGCCAAAGCCCAGGAGAGCCACCACACAGCCCCAGTTGATGCCACTCTCAAACCGGCTGGAGGCAATCTTGGTGAAGAGTTCATAGGCATTCGCAGCTGTAGGTTGTAGTTGTTCAAGCACGCTCTGGAACTTGGAGTCATGGCGCCAGTTGATGTCACCAATCACAGGGAGCTGCTGATCCAGCTGCCCCATGGTACTGGTAGGTTCTAGGGCCACCCCTTAGCCTCCTGCTCCTGTCGGTGACGGTAATAAAAGTAGCTATGGAAAACCTCCTCTGTTTCCCGGGCTATCTGCTGCTCAGAATTGGAGGTCGGCTCTACGCATTCCTCACTAGGAGGACCTGGGCCTTGCCTGGATGCCATTTTTCAGGTCTCAGTAGAGGACAGTGTCAGCCTGTCCAGTCTCTGGTCCAGAGCCGAATGCTCGGCAGGGTTTCCGGCTCAGCTTCCAGGAACCGGCGTCAGTGCATTCCTGGTGTCAGGATGCAGCCCTTGCTTGAGAGTTGTGGATCTTATGACACAGTTTAATGATAAAGCATACATTAGAAAACACTTTAGGAAATAGCCATCAATGTGCCTAATATGAATTATTTATCAAATAACTTATTTAGTTAATAAGTTTCCTCAGCATGTCAATACATACATAAATGTGATGACCTCTTAACATTGTTGAGATTTAAAAAATCCTCCACCAAAAATTTTTGAAAGAATGTGTGCTAAATTGTTTAAAAACAACACTTATCCTTAAGGAATGGGTTTAGAGAAAGAGGGCACATTCATTTGGTTCTTTATGGTTATTCTATAATATTCACATTTGTTAAAATGAATATGCATTGATTCTGTAATTTAAAAAACTTGGAGAATATAACTACAGAGAAACTGAAACAGAGAAAAAGAGACCAGGGCAGGGGAAATTGGGCAAGGGGTCGGCGGAGGAAGGAAGAAAGTAAGTGCCCATCAATTATAAGTGGGTACTGAATAACTGAGGTAAAGGATAGGCTAATTTCAAGAGTGGGAGGACAGCTGGGGCTGCTTGAAGAGCTTCCTGAAAGAGTCCTGAAGATGAGGAAGTCTCTGTGTGATGGTGTGTCTCAGGCCAGACCTGTGATTCCTACAGGCTTGAGAGACTTAGTCCATCCTCCACAACCTCAATTCCACAGATTACGGGTGGGACTTCTGGTCTGTGGTTGAATAAATGGACTATTGTTATTCATATTTATTAACTTGACTATTTCTTGGTTAGAGACCAAGGATGGGGTGAAGGTAGGAGAAGAAAAGAGGTTATTTTTAGGTCTTTCTCCTTATCACAATTATATAGTGAGTTTCTGTTTTTTGCAATGTGACTTTAGAACCATTTGGCCTGGGTAAAGGAAAACATGATTTAATATAAACCGTTAAAGGTACAAACTGGTACTTTAAATTGAGTTGGGTATTCTAGGCCATTCACTCTGATAGAAGACAATAGCATTTTCTTTATTGATCTTTGGTCCAAATGAATCAAATCAGCATGCTCTCTTTTACCTTGGGGAACTATTTATTTTTTTTTTAATCAGATACCTTATCTGGAAAACGTTGCTAAGTGGGACCCATACTTTCTATGTCTGCCTGCCTTTCTGCAGTATCTATGAGGTTCTGCAGAGTTTTGTGGAATATCTGTGGATTTGTGTTATCTCAAGCACACAGCATAGGAAGGAATGAAGTTTGCCCTTTCTGTGGCAGCACAGTTTCAGATAACAGAAGGTTAAGAGAGCTGGCTTGGATATATGTTCCCTCTTGTTACTAATATGGAGACCTTAATTGGGTCCACTGAGAAGGCTACATAAAGTACCATGGATATGGAAGATAAGTTACATCTTGTGAGAAGAATATTCATTTTATAGTTTCAATGGGGCTCTCTTGTAAGGAATTAAGGCCTGGTCAGGAATGAGCTGTGAATCAAACTATTGCCTAACTTGTTTTTTTTTAGTGGTGGTAGTGCTGGGGATTGAACCCAGGCCTCATGCATGCTAAGCAACTGCTCTACCACTGAACCATATCACCAACCCAGGGGACTGGTTCTTAACAAAACCTTCTCCGTATCTCTTTAACTGAAGGTTCCATTTGAACTACAGACCACATGTTCCACACCTACTATAGCTACCCAATTATTAATTGAATGACAAATTCTGACCTAAGAATGGTTATTTTAAGATTTTGATACTGACCACTAGGTGGCTCTCCTTTCTCAACTCCCACTGGCTTCTCTGTGAGGCTGAACGCTCCTTCAGACCTTAAGAATTTTTATATGTGGAAGATACACAGAATCACACTAGAAGTTTTGAACAGTCAGGGATAGAACCTAGTTTACAAATTTAACAATACCCAAACTACAAAGAATTCCTTCCTATTTCTTGAGGCACTGGCTACGAGGTAGCTCTTCAGGCCACAGTGTGACTATATGTTCCTTAAACTAAGGCAGTAACAAATACCACATTTAAAAAATTCAAACCATTGCTCTGGTAGTGAGTGGAATGTGTGCTATTGTCTTGAAAAATTTTCAATTTCTAACATGTCAGATAAAATCTTGGGGTATTCAGTGTAAAGGAGTTCCCAAGACCAAAGTTTGAGATTCTCTGGACAAGTCTAGGGACATAATTTCAATTTTCCTTTTTCAATATTGTAACTGCCTCTTATGCAATTATAATATTGAAAACTATGGGAATGTCTGGGACAGCATTTTTTTTTTTTTGTAGCTATTATAAATGACAGGAAAAACGGTGAAAGTGGCCTGTTTGGATTTCAGACTAAAGCACAAAACTAACCTGCTTACTAGTAAAGTGTTATAGGAACTCAGAAGTTCTAGAACCGGCTATAGTTCAGATAAAATGTGCAATGATTTTCAAGTCACAGCATGTGGGAACTCCCTCAAAATCATACCCATTCGTGAGCCTCCACAGATGGTATGCTCCAACCCCAATCACCATTTAATTCCTTAAATAAGAGACACTGGCACAAAATTGTCATTCACTTTTCTGCATACTTTATTTGTTACAAACATACAATTTTTAAATATAGACTGTAAAACTCCATTTGCAAAAGTCTGCTATTGTAAGGAGTGCACACCAGCAGGAAGGATTCTTAAACTTTTTTCTCTATGAGTTTTTTTCTGTCAGTTTTGCTAGTTAGTGGTAAATACGGGACCCGCCATTTTACAGACCTGTCTGAAGCTTCTGGCTGTATTCACATTGCTCTTTTGAAGCAGCCCTGCTCGTCTCAAAAATTGATCAGAATCTTGAGCTTCAACCTACAGGCAGTGAGATCAACAGCCCGTCTGGACTCTGCTTTTGAACGGTTTTCAGGAAGTGTGATTTCTGAATGGGTACTGCACTTCACGGATTTGTTTGAATTGCCCATGCAGCTCTGTTTGTTAAAGTGCATTCTTCTTTTAAAAAATAAGCAAGAGGAATAATCTTTACTCTTTAACCAAGGTACTTAAAAAAATGAACTTTTTGGTCTCTCAGCAGATATTCCCAAATTGATCCTATCACTACAAATTTTAGTGTTCTATTTACAAACATTTAGGGTTACAGGTGGAGGGGACCTTATAAAATTAAAGGTGCAGCTTCACTTGAAGCAGAAATCAGCTCTACAAATTTATACATAGGCATACACACTTGGTTTACAATGCATAATAAGCATGTTGGTATTTACAGAGACTGAAGACATCCTCCCCCCTCCCCCCCAAAAAAACCCTTTTAAAGTAATTTCCAACCTAAACTCTTAATTGTACATCTAGATCAGGAAGCTGTCTCCTGCTATCAAGATTTGGTTTTAAATCATTCAAATTATTTCTGTAGATTCTCTACTGGCAGGACACCAGTCCCAGCTTTGGAGTGAAGAGCCTAGTCTAAGGAAGTCACTGGTAGACATGATTGGCAGTGAAGATTTCTATTAAACAGAAAGTGTGTTATCTGGAGCTATATCAGAAGACAGGGGATTTTATAAAGTGATTTTGGAAACACATTTGCATGAAGGTTCAAAAGGAAGAATAAATGCCAACTAATAAAATTATTCTAGATTTCAGAAAAAAGTTCAAATACACTGTTGATAATAGTTACTATTCATATAAGTCATTGAAAAATAACTCAAATAAACTTGCCTGCTACCAAAATGTGCAAAACCATGGACTCTCTATAATGTATATTGATACTGATTTAAAGTCACTTTCTAGATTTTTGCTGTTATATATTGGCTTTTAGAAATTCTGAGAACTTTTGTACACAGGGGAGACTTGGGCTGGGAGAAAAGGACTTATGCCTAATATCAGCTTAAAATGAAACTCCCAAATTCCTACAACACAAACACATTTAGCGACATAATTATGTTCTTTAATTTTCTTGAGGCTCTTCCTACATTTTTGCTTGTTAAAAAGAAAATTTAAAGGGGGGAAGAAACAAACCACTTGCTATTTTATTTCCAAATATTAAGATTTTACTAACCAGCCTGATCTTGCAACACAGTGTACAAAACATTTTGCCTTTAAGAAATATGATATGGTCTAACTAATTTTTCTTGAAAGACTCAGCCATTAAAGTTATTGTAGGAAGGGAAAAAAAAAAAAAGGTTAAACTCATGCCTTCTGTAATATGCTAGTGGACACCAAACAGGTCTATTACTTTCTCTCTAGTACACTGGACCCACATTTCATCGCACACAAAAAAAAGGTATGATCAGCCACCTTTTATCCAAGTTACTAGGTATTAGATACAACACAGGGAAATAAAATTTGCCTATTCAAAATTTCTGTTAATTAAAATATTTCATGAAACTTTGTTAGAATTACTTATGGGAAAAAAATGATAGTTTTTAGCTTCTAATAAGCTCTGCTCTCCCTTTATTAGAAGTCCTACTGAAAAGTGAAACCATCAATATGGAATTTGCTGTTGTTTCAATATAGGTCTACCTATCCCAAATGGAATGTCTAATTAAAGAGGCATGAGTTAGATTTTCAAAAGATTGTGAATAGAGGTGATTACATTGATGACATATTCCCTACATCCAAAAATATAAAATACATTCAAAAAGGCCTTACTTAGATCAGGGGTACAGATATCAAATGGGAATCATTAGGGTATAGGTCTTTGGGATGCAATTTTTCTGTTTCCAAATTTTCAGTACTGACAAATGGATCACATTTGTTAAAGTGTGTCAGATCCATTAGTAATAAAGACTAGGTTTTGAAACTGAGGACTGGGAAAGGTGACTTTAAATAGCAAAATCAGATATATCAACAGAACTCACCATTCAAGAGTCCAGCTATTTCTTGAAACTTCCGGGGCTAACATTTGAAAATTAATGTCTGTTTTTCTAAGTTAAAAATGGGAAATGAAGTTATAATTCACATTTCCACCTTACTATCTGGAATTTCAAGTGGGACATATGACATGAACTTTTTCTCTTTTTAGTCTATATCTTAAGGTAAACATGGTTCTTTTTTTCTTTTTTCTTTTCTACAAACTATCTCCCCCCCTCCCCAGCCCCACCCCCATACTCATTATTCAGTATATTGAATGGGAGTTTTAACTCTTTAGGAAGACAGCTAATTGATTTACAGTACTCTAAAACTAACCCTGAAAACTGATAATCTCATTCATTTACCATAACTTCAGTGCTGTTGTTGACAGAAAAGAAAAAGTTACCTTAAGGCTCAAGGGAAAGTAACTTATTAATTTGTGAATGCAGCATTATTTACTCTCCCATCCATTGGAAACTAGCAAAATGCATTCTGGATCAATAATACAAACTTTCTAACACTAGCAAAGATTTCTACTCTTCTTACATAGAGTCAGAACAATATTCATAAGCAGATTATCTAGGGGAGCCTGAGAAACCATGATCCACATCACACAAGGATTCCATGTATTTCATGATCAAAAAGTGCTTTATCTTTGAGAACTGTGTCAGGGTTAAAATGGAAATATACAATGCAAAATCACTTGACACTTTTTCAAGTGGAAAAGGAGCAAAAAGATGAAGGCTCTGCTCTCTGAACAGGCCTTATGCATGTAATTTTTAGGGCACACTAAATTAAAACTGTTTTGAGAATTAGTAATAGTGGATTTTTTCACCACTAAATTCTAAAACCTGAGATTGGACATCAAAGCAGTCAACTTTGTCATTCATCAGAGCAATTCTGATACTTCCTAAAAATAGAAGAAAACTCAATTGAATTAACTCCAGGGTCAAAAACATTAACGTTCCCCAATCAAAAAGGAGACTGATCAAACACATTATACTAAGAGTGCTACAGAATAACAACTCTTAGCAAACAAGTCATTTCTACATAAGCAAAAAAGTCACTTCTCTCCTTCCCCTTCTTACTGATCAAGGCCACACTATTTTCAAATGAATATCTACTGAGAGATCAGTTGTGCATTGGACAAAGTACCATAATTGGGTTAAAAATGAAAACAAAATTTACAGTGAAGAATACTTATGTGCATGGCTTACACACTCCAGCTTCTTAATTTCATCAAGGTAGATGCAAACAGTCATCTTGTGTAGATTACATTCTACACCCCTGTAAAGCCAGTCAAGGTCACATTTAACAAAGCATCCTCAGCAACTAGTGCCTGAAGTGTGCAGCCGTTTACAGACCACTCAATATGAGGGCATTATTATAACCAGCCTCTTTTGCCCACAACCCTGCATTTTCAGATAAGACAGGATAATTGTTTTGTTTTGAGAAAACCGAAGCTTGAATCTCTTAAAAAGACCTGCAATTTACTGCACAGTGATCCAGAGGTAACAAAGGAATCAGGTTAATGGCTGCCTGCACCAAAATCCTCTCAATCATTTTGCAGTAAATAATTATGGAAAGTGACATGACAAGTAGCCATGTGTGTATCACAGCTACAGTCATTTATACCACCTACATGCCTCCAACAGTTACATAGGGTGTCTGGGTTTTTGGTTTGGTTTTCACTTAAGATTTTTGGTGCCATATAGATTTATATTTTGATTTGTGCAGCATATGCACTGAAAAACTTGCTGACTAGAACTGCTGTTCCACTTGCTAAAATGATGGGTAAGGACAATAGAAACCAGAAAGGAGTAATAAGATCTCTTCACAGATTTTTACTCTTGATTCTGTTCCTAAAAGTTGAATTCTCATCTCTGTAGCAATGGTAGTTTGAGAAACAAACCTTCCACCAATTATTTTAAAAGGAGTTTTAGTTCCCTGCTTTTCAGGAATATACTATTTTGATTATCTGGGATGTTTGCCAGATTAAAATACAACTTCTAAATAGTTCATAGTAGCAGTTGAATAACAAAACAAAAAAGTTGGTTGTTTCCCATAGTTTATACAATGCCATTATTTGAGTGAAACCAACAAAGACCATTTCTCTCAATAAGCTAATATTTATGAATGAATCTCTATACTTTGCTGATTTCTATTGCCCCTAGTCACTGGAATAAGGATCAGTGAAATGCTACAATTAATCCACATCCTTCTGCAATCTTCCTACAGTGGGAAGAGAGGCCATGAACCACCCCCTGCAGGAGAAATAAACCTTAGAGATTGGTTAAGACTTAAAAACCCACCACTATGACATTTATCACTTAATCTTACATAGGCAGGTCAAAATTTTAATATAAATTACTTTTGCCAACACATAGCTTATGCATTCTTTGCTCCTTTTTTTGGAGGATTCTCAAATTGATATCTAAAGATTTACATATGATATATTACTGTTATATGGTCTAATGACTAAGAAAATTTCTCTGGTAACCAAAGCTGATGCCATATATGGTAGTGTTCTTGGCATATACTCTATATGCCTCAGACCACTTCCACATTCTTTCTATTCAGCTAATTATAGCTTAGTAGCCACTGGTGAAGGATTGTGAAGACCCTGTCATTTCTACAGAATAGAAAGGCAAGGCTAGTTACTGCAATTCAGCCAAACAAAAAGAAAAGAAAAAATAAACCAACCCCTTGAAAAGGAGAGGTACTGCACCTTTGCAAAATTGAACTGGCTCACTGCAGCTGAGCAACAGAACCACCACTGAAGCAAGAAAACAAGTTGGTCTATACAGGAATTGTACATGGTTTGAAAAGGAAAAAGTTACAGCAATCAACTAATAGCTGCAACCTTAATTTTCATTGCTGCCTCAGAGTTTGAAACTTAAGTTTCTGCAAACCTAATGCTAGCTTCTTAGCTCCTTTACTAAAACTAGGAATTTGTTCTCCGCAGCAAAGAAATGAACACTCAAAACACATAGGTAAATACAGCAGGACATTATTGAAAACAGCTGCCTTGTAGTACAAAATACAGTACAAGTATACGGATGTCATTAAAACATCAAAAATACTATTGCTCCCATACAATTTAGGAAACATTCTTTGCAACGGAGAAAAATTTAAAAGAAAAGCTTTAAAAAAATCTGTTTAAAAATTCTACTGTGGATGATGAGAGTAGAGAAATAGTCTGAAAAGGGCACCAATGTTTGTGGCTCTTCCACTTTTTTTTAAATCTAAGATCAACAATATTCTGAATCATAGTCTAYGTTTTAAAAAAGCCTAATTTTATATACACAATTATTTCCCTCCCTCTCAGCCACAAATACATGAAACGACCTTTTTGTATATTACTTATTTCCCAATAAATACAAAAAGATTGTATAGATTGAATAATACCAAAATAAGATAATAAAAAGGATATGCAATAAATTAAAAAGGCAGCTCAAATAAAGGGCAGGCATGCAGTTAAAAAAAATACTAAGATTGTGGAGGTGGGGTTACTTGCCTCCTGGTTGAGAAGGTGTCACACAAAGAATACCTGAAAACTTTGGAAAGAACATTAGCTCCCATTCAATTCAAAGTTACCTAGGTCTATGACACTTTTAGGAATACCTTTTGATGGGGTCGGGATTAACTTGATTAGTAAAAATCATTTCTACTGAAAATCCTTTTAAAATATAGAAGAGGCGATCCTTGAAAACCCCAACTTTTATTCTTGAAAGACAGCTGGATAAACTGGCAAAAGCCAGTTTGTTGAAATTTCAAGATGGTATAAAAATGCTTCCAGGATAAAGTCAGCTTATTCACGTTCACTTCAGTTCATTCACAGATGGATTTCAGCTTCCACCGGGAGCACTGCTTGAATCATTCATCCATCATTTGCCAACTTTGATTGTGAGGTACTGATACAATGGATCAAGTTCTTAAAATTTTCTTTTAAAATAAATGATGCTGGAATTCTGGACCTGAGGATCTTTAGTATCGAACAAATCCACAGATTAAACTGAAGGTAAATTAAGACTTCAGTTTTGGTTATTTCCAACTTTTCTGTGAGGATGTATATTCCATTAAAGCTCAGGCTTGTAGCCACACTGTTCCTTTAACAGGTATTTGTCAAGTTTTACGGTTTAAAATGCAGCCAACCAGTGGCTGTAACAGCCGAATTAGCCATAATTCACTGGCTCATATGGGAGCCATAGGGATCTGGCTCTCATTCATACCTAAGCCATTTCTTGATAATGACCTCCATATTTAGAGATCAAGGGAAGAACTTTAGTGAGCAGCAACCAGTCCACTCAAACAGTTTGCCTTGTGCTTTATGCCTGACTTCTTGTGCCTACCTCAGCAATCCCCAATGTAAAATTTTTATTTTTAAAAAATTTGCAAACTTTTAAACTATTTTAGTAATGGATTCTAGTTCAAGCATTGATATCAGAATTTATCTGCATCCCGGAAAACAATTCTGCAAAGAAAAGACATGGGCCTTGGTCCAGGTTCCATGCAAAACCATTTTTTAAAAAATGGATCCAATTTGTTTCTATATTCTCCAATGGCTTCTTTAATTCTTTTGCCCTGTCCATGATTATGTGAAGTTGCATTCCTTAAACCTGTACCCTCAGAACTGGGTAAATGCAAAGGCCTTTCTTCTCAAGGATTCCATGAAGATCTAGATCCAAAACGCTGATTTCAATGGATGTGAAGGGATAGACACTGCAATAGTGAGGCCTGGAGAGATCTTTAGATTACCCAGGTACAACACAAACTTAACTGTTATCAATGGGTGGGTCTGGGTGACTCAGACGTGTTTTGGGCCCAGACGTTTGAAGATYTATCCCTTCCAGGGTTATCCAGGGTTTAGGAACCTCGGTTGGGAAACAACAGAAGCTGAGACTTTCGCGCGGGTGAGGAGACGCTGTTGTCCTCTCTTTGCAGGTTGCTGTCAGTTCCTTGGAACTTTACTGCTTTTCTCTAATTGTCCGTGACTGTTCTTTTACGGTTATTTCTCTTAACTATATTATTTTTTTATTTTGCTTTCTCCCTTTGCAGCCTCCCTTGTTCCCTTCCGCACTAACTCACTGGAGGTGAGCAGAAAAGGGAACTTTCTAGCCAAGGGGATGGTGGTGGGGTAGGGGAGGCCAGTAGGGGAAGCTGCCCATTTCAATCCTCATCCACCTCCTCACCCTCGGACTCGTCGCCGCCGCCGCTGCCACCACCACGGCGCTCATAAAGCTTATCCCTCTGACGCTCCTGGATTTCTTTCATCTCATCCGCATACCGGCAAAAGGCGCCTCCGAACTTGCCCCAGGCCTTGAAGGGCACGGTGATGGCGTTGCGGTAAGACGGCTTCACCTCGCTCACACGCAGAAACACCCCGTACTTGTTGCAGCCCACGTCGAAGAAGAAGCGCTTGGAGTCCACCGTGATGGAGGTGCCCTCCGGGAGCTCCCCATATAGGCCGCCCCCGGGGCCGCCGACGCCGCCCCCCGGACCTCCGGTCAGCTCGTCCTCCTCGCCGCCGTAGTCGTCGATGAGCTTGGCCAGCGCGTCGCGGAACTCGATGAGGCCCTGCGCGGGCAGCGCGATGGTCTGACCGCTCTGTAGGCCGCCGGGCCCGGGTCCCGCGCCGAAGCCGCCGCCGCCGCGGTTGACCGTCTGGCGGATGCGCAGGAAGCGGCCGCGCTGGTTCTCCTTCAGGTCTAGGTAGTACTTGCGGTTCTCGCGCACCAGGAACTCGCTCTTAAGCGCGCGCCGCGGCCCGCCGCCCTCCTCGGCGCCCGCTGCCAGCTGCTCGGGGCTGCTGGGGCCCAGCTGCGCGTAGTGCTCGATGAAGTCTCCCAGCGAGTCACGGAACTCGGCGGCCACCGCCATGGACAGCGTGAGACGGCTCTTGGAGCCGCCCGCGCCCACCTCAGCGATCTTGAGGAAGCGGCCTTTGGCGTTCTGCTTCACATCCAGGTAGAAGCGTTTGTTCTGGATGTCCAGCCGTTTCGAGGCCAGCTCCTGCGTCTCCTGTTCGCCGCCGCCGCGAGGAGCGGGCTGGAAGCCGCCGGGCCCGCCGCCGCCGCGCTCGCTGCCGCTGTCGCCGTCCGCCATCTTCTCGGCCGCCGCCTCGCCGCCTCCCGCCGCGCTCGCGCCCCCGCCCTCCGCCCTGCGGCTCGCGCTCCGGGGGCCCCCCAGCCTCGCCCGCGGCTCCTCACGCGCGCCCGCCGCTCATCGCCGGCCGCCGCCGCCCCCCATCGCCTCCGCGCCCCGCCCCCGCGGCTTCCGCGCAGCACGGCCCGCTTCCGGCGCGCGGTTTCCCGTGACGTCACTCCGCCCGCCCGCCACCGCCTCTCGGCCGGAAGCGCCGCGCGCCACGACGGCGCGGCGCAGGTGTGACGTCACGGGCTGCGCCAGGCGGGAGGCTCAGTGAGGGTGGGCCTTGCTGGCCTCTGAGTAATCGGCCAGTTACCTCTGTGGCCTAGTGCTTGTGGTGCGTTCTCTTGTTACACCTGAATAAAGTCCTTATCCCTTCGCCCTACGGGCACCTTCAGCTCCCGCCCCCACGTCCCGCTGCACTGTGGACGGGACGCAGCCCTGTTCTTGGAGCTCTACGGCAACCGGGCTGAAACGTACTTTGAAGCAGCCAGAAGTGGGGGCTGATGGGTCTGTGAGTCTTAAGAGGAGTCAGGACACGAGACTGAAGGACAAGCTGTAGTGGCCCGGGGGATGGAGAAGAGCTTACCTAGCAGACGGGAAGGAGTACATAGGGACACAGAGTCTGCGCTGGGAGCTGGGGTGGGGGGAGTTTGGGTCTGTGGAGTGACCGTAGGTGACATTGGAGGTTATGATAGCTCAAGGAAGGCCCTCTGTAGTGCACACCCAAGCCTAGAGATCTCATATGTGATCAGATTCACAATTTGGAAAGATCGTGGGTAAAATATAGAAGGTAGTTGAATGACGTGAGATTTTTGAATCCATAGTTAAATAAACAAGCTCTTCTTGTCCATGCACTTACTAGTCATTTTAAAGGGTTAAGGAAATCAACCCTGCTAGGCTTTAATTTCATTATCAATAGATGTGAATAACTTTGATGCGACCTTTTGCTTTAAGGTGCAAAAAAGAATAAAAAGAGGCTCTATTTAAATAGTGTCAAAGAAATGTAGGCAAAGAAAAAGAAGCATTTCAGTCTCACTGTCCGGATTTGAATCTAGGTGACATTGACCAGTTATTAATTTTCCCAAGCCAGAATTTCCTCATCCTTAAATGTAGTTATTAACAAATAATAACTGACAAAGGACTGTGACCAGAAGATATAAAGAACATTTAGAACTTATGAACAAGACGACACAATATAAAAACATAGGCAAAATAATTTTAACAGACACTTTGCCACTGAAGATATACAGTAGTTGATAAGAACAATTAAACAATGCTTGGCATCACTAATCCTTAGGGAAATGTAAATTAAAATCATAATTAAATATCACTAAACACAATAGAGTGGCTAAAATTTAAAAAGACTGACAATCAAATGTTGGCAAAGATGTGGAGAAACTGGAATTCTCACACTGCTGGTGGGAATGTAAAGTGACATTTTGGAAAACAGTTTAGTAGGTTGTTTTTTAATAATTCTAACTAGCACATAGTAATAGTCCCTATGTATAGGGTACCATGTGATGTTTTGATACTTGGATACATTGTTTAGGCAGTTAATTATGAACATACTTACCATAAGGCCTAATTTTTCCACTGATAAGTACTTACCCAGGGAAAATAAAAGTGTATCCATAGAAAACATACTGTATGACTTTAAAAAATTAGAAAATAATGTATAAACATATATATATATATATATATATATGTGTGTGTGTATATATATATATATACACACACACACACACCTAGTGGGGGTGGGCTGGTCTGAGATTCTCAAGCTGCTCTGCTAGACTGCTCTGCTAAAATGTGCTGCTTTGATGCATCTTTGGAATGTCAAATTTCTTTCTCCAGTTTATTTTTTCTTGGAAGCCTTATATAAGAATATGTACATATATATATATGTATGTGTGTGTGTGTGTGTGTGTGTGTGTGTATGGAAGCAAATAAGTAGTGGCCTGGGCATAGAGGGAGGGATAGATTGGAAGGGGACATCAGGGAACTTTCAGGGTGGAAGTTTTATTTTGTGGTAGATGTGCCAAAAAGTCACAGATATATACAGCTTATTTTAGATTATACATCTATAAAGTAGTTACTGGTTTTGGAAAAGAAAAAATTAAAGAGGATATTCAGGAGATCTACATTTAAGAAGATACCTTGTAGGATTGTCAGACATAATCCTTGAAAATGTTTAGCATAATACCTAAATTATAGTGAGTACTTAATAAGTGGACCCAGGAGTGAGTTCAGAAAAGGGTAAGTATGGAGATCAGGTTGAGATCCTCCAGCAGACAGGGTAGGTTTAATGTCAAGCTTCTAGAAGAAGGAGAGTCAAATTTGGGTCTTGGACATATCTACCCTTGGAGAGGATTTTAACATTTCAAATTCTTAGGGAAGGAAAGCAATGTCAAGTATCACTGGACATTCATGAAAGATACGCACCCAACTCCTGTAACTTGCTAACCAAACCACTTTCTGATTTCTGATTTCCCTGCATCAGAGACCCCAACATTCAGTTCAAGCAAATGACTCTACCTTTCTGTTCATTTTTTATCAGTTTGTTTTTTTAAAATATTTTTTAAATTGTTAATGGACCTTTATTTTATTTATTTATATGTGGTGCTGAGAATCGGACCCAATGCCTCACATGTGCTAGGCAAGCACTCTACAACTGAGCCACAACCCCAGCCTATCAGTTTGGTTTTAATGAGTCAAGTTCTATTTAGTGAGTCAGATCTGTTGTTGTTGTTGTTGTTGTTGTTTTTGAAATTTTATTCTTTGATAAAAGCCTAGCATTTTCTCCCCTTTCAGATATTTAATAATCACATTTTGAGACTTTTTAAAAAATATATATTTTTAGTTGTATATAGACACAGTATCTTTATTTTGTTGATTTACTTTTATGTGGTGCTGAGAATCAAACCCAGTACCTCACACCTGGGAGGCAAGCATTTTACCGCTGAGCCACACCCCAGCCACTAAGAGACTCTTTAAAAATATATTAATTTTTTTAATGTGGTGCTGATGATCAAACTCAGTGCCTCGCATGCGTGAGGCAAGCACTCAATTGCTGAGCTACAACCCCAGTCCCACATTTTTGAGACTTTTTATGATTTTATTTTGAATATATGTAATTATAGTTTTATATTTAACTCCAGTTCATCTGGGATACATTTTGATGTGTAGCACGAAGTGAAGAATCTAAAAAAAATTCCTTCAAATGAGTAACCAATTGTCCTAGCACTATTTATTGAATAATCCTTCAAGGATGGATTTCAACAGGTGGAGATAGGGGTATGCTATTTTGGGCAGAGGGAACATATGTCCCCAGATGGTGAGAATATGATTTGGCTGGAGCCCAGGGTCTGTGAGGAATGCATGGTGAACAATGGAACTGGAGGTAGCTGGACCTGGGCTGATAGAGGCCCTTGACTTTGCAAGCAGGGAGTTTGGGCTTGGTTAAGAGTGACTGGGTGGGAGAGACACACCATAACTATATAAATAGGAGCATGGTACATTCGGGTATGTGCTTTGGGGACATGATGCATGGTAGAAGATAACATGAGTGAGAAGGAGTGGGACCAAGGATGGGCCCATGGTTAAGAGGAAATGACTGCTATGAACCAGGCTAGCAAGGACTAGCCATGGCTGAGCAGGAGGGTCAGGACTGAAAAACAACATGGTGCCACCAGAGAGGAGTGGAGGAAAATTTTGAGGCAAATTCTTGAGTGAGTAGAGACAGGGGCTTACCTTAGCAGACATGATGTTCAAGAGCAGGAGTTCTTTGGATAAAGGTTATATCCAGTGCTGAGCTTCTAGAGGCTTCCAATGCTACAGATGTTAGGTACTTCTCAGTATAATTCACATAATGGAGCACAATAGAATGTGCTGCTTTGATGCATCTTTGGAATGTCAAATTTCTTTCTTCATTTTATTCCTTCTTGACAGCTGTAAGCTCCTGTTTTTTAATAAATTGAGCATGAGTGAGAATGAGTAAATTGAATAAATTTACTTATTTAAACTCAAGAGGCTGCCTGGCTGACTGTGGGAAGATGTCCTTATAACTTTGGGACTCAGGTAGAGTCCAGTACAGGGGTGTGTGACAGAGATGCAGATTGAGGTGCTGTCACCAGATAGGTGTATTGTATATCAGGCTTTTGGAGGTTGTGTAGAAAATTTAGGGACAGGTGAACTGGATGAGGAGAGAGAAAGAATAACTGGAGGTCACATGTGTTAGTTCGTTCTGAGCTGCACACATGGGCTTCCTGCATGTCTTGGAAACCCACCACAAATCACACAGCTCTTAGGAGATAGATCATAGACTGAAACTCAAGTCCCCCCTTCCAAATATTGTGTTCTTGATGCTTCCACTTTGGGAATCGGGGAGGTGGTTGAAGCCAAATGGCAAAGCACTCACAAGCGAATGTGTGAGCAGGAAGTGTGGATGGAGGAACCATCCTGTGATAGGCCAGAAAAGGATGGGAATGTGTGAAGGAAAGCAAGATGGAAGCTGTTCTATTCCAAAGAGAGTGAAGTTACTCCCGGACTGAAGAGGTATGGGTCTTGACAGAGCCTTTAAGTGAGGCCTGGAGCAGGTGCAGGAAATGAGCACATGGGAAAGGGATGGAGGCCTGAAAAGTAAGAAGCAGTATCTTCCTTCTGAGACCAGGAACAGAAGAAGAGACCCAAGAGCCTCTGGTGGAAGGGAGGGAAATTGGAGCAGTTGATTCCGAAAGAGCCCAAGAGTGAGGCCAGCATGTGAGCATCTCCAATTTATAGGTGAGGTAATTCAGTCCCAGAGGACTGGGCAGCAAGGTTCTGGTTCTGTAACATGTACATCCTCTAAGGGAATAGTTCAGGTTGAACAGGGCATTACAGCCATACTTAAAGACTCCCAGACCAGGCCCCCCACACTACACATGAGGGCCTTCCTTCTGAGGAGGATGCAAGAAAGACCCAAAATCTGAGGCT